TGTGCTATGCATCCATGTGTATGAGTGAAGTGAATGTGATACCTGTGCATATGTGCGGAGAGCGTAGTATGCGTGTTTACTCTATTGCGATCCACAGCATCTTTCTTACAAAGGTTGTAGTTCAGGTTGTTGATGCTGAGCAGAAGCTCAGATAGAAGCCTGAGATCTATGGTATTGTTTGCTTCTCCTCTGGCCAGGTGTCTGGTCAGACAAGGTCTGGACTTAGCAATTCCTTTCAGAATGACTATATTGTTTGGATTTATTTATTCACTTAAACATCTTTGGACACAGAAAATAAAACCACAAGACCAACAAACATGAAAGGTATTCAAACTGGAAAAGCTTCATTCTTTCCTGTTCACCTGTGCGAGAGATTGCGAGACCCAGTTAGGGACCCAGCCACTCCTGTCCACAGCTGGGTGGAAGAAGAATTCAGCTCTCAGGGCTGTGCAGAGCAAGGGCTCTCAAAGATTCCCACTCTGCTCATTGGCCCCACAGGTCCCTTGCTAGTCATCATACCTGAGCTCTCACTTCATTAAGAGGATTCTCAATATTTAGAACTCAGAATCTCCTGGCAGAGGACAGCTTACATCTGCTCTGCAGTGGTAGAAAAATAGCTTTAAGAGTCGAATGATGTCTAGTTGTAGGCATCTGTCAGAGAAGAAAAATCTCACTCTTTTTCAGTCCAGACCCCTTTGAATGCACAACCTCCATGCTTTCTGAATCCTCTCCTTTAAGGACCTTGCTTGTCTGCTAGAGATAGCTGGGGACCTTGTCCTGGGGGACATTCCCATCCAGGATGAAGAAGCTCACTGTGAAGAGACCTGGAGACTGCCGGGGGGAAGCCCTCCAGCTGGACAGTTCACAGGAAGCACAAGCCATGTTTTCTGGGATACCAACTTCATGTTCAGGGGTGAGGCCTTTCTCACACCTTCCCAAACTACTGTTTGTCTTGCTGCCATCACGAACAGCACAACTGGTTTTTATTTGGGCTAAATAAAACTTGGCTCCAAACTTCGAGAAGTTGACAACCATGGGGTCACAGAACATTCAAGATAATGCTTGTATCTATTGGTGACAAAGTGCATGTGAGTTTCACACCCTGCCAGTGTGTAATGCTCCTCCTGAGGCTAAGGCAGTGCTGGGGCCAGGAGGAGATGCTAGGGAGCTTCTGCCTGAAAGTGCTCGGAGCTGAGGGGGCTCTAACCACTGACTTTAGCCATAGCAGCCAAGTCCTGAAACTTGGCAGTAGGTTACTAGAGGGAATCTGAGGGCTCAGAAACAGCCTGGATCTTCAGTAATCATCCAGGTTCTCTCTCTGTCCCTCTGGTCCTCCTGGACCCTCTCTGAGGATCAGGTTCTTTCTCTGAGGTGCACTAATTCCTCCACAGGGCAGAGAGCTGAGCCCGGACCACAGCGAAGCCCTGCTTCACAGCCTCAGTATTCAGCACTAGCAGGGAACTCCTCCATGAAGCCAACCTGGGCCAGAAGCCCACCTTGGGGCAAATGAACCACAATGAGGCAAGGAATCATTTAAGAAAGGGACAGCTCTTGTGAGAAGCACACATGGGACACTGTGAGCAGCACTTCTCAGACAAGGGGGAGGTGGTAGACACACAAATATGTGCTCATTAAAATGTGAACACACGCTGTTCACAGAGACGACAGGAGCTGCCCTGTGGTCTGATGGTGAGTCAGAGAGTGAGCAGATGGCACTCAGGGCTGGGGCCAGGCAGTTGAGGGAGAGGGGTGTCTTAGGAAGCATGGAGGTGACAACGTGGAAAGTGGCTCCATGTCTACTTTCTGTCTTGCTCTGCAGTGCATATTGAAGGAAGAGTCTTCATTACATTGTCCCCGAGCCCCTACCTCCTACCTTTCCTCTGCACCATTAAAATCAGTGCTCATCAGCACTTTTGTGTTTCCTGAGCATTCTCCTGATGCTCTCACTGAAACTGATAGAGCCAGGGGTGGGCTTGTGCAGATGTAAACTCCAATTTTTATAGTAAAAACCTGGAGAAATGGAGAGGGGGCCCATGATGGTGGAGAGAGCATGCATGTCCCCTTTAAATGGAACCCTACTTCTTACTAACCACTGCTGTCAGATGGAAATATTCTGCCTGCCTTTCACAGGTGGAATTGTGCATCTCCCTCCCAACATACGTTACATTCCCAAACCCAGCCACCCAGAATGTTACTGTGTCTGGAGAACAAGGTTTATCAGGAGGTAATAAAGGTAAAACGAAGCCTTTAGGATAAACTTTAAGCCACTATGACAATCTGACTGGTGACCTTACAAGAGATCAGGACTCAGACACACACAGGGAGAAGACCAGGTAAGGACAAGATGAAAAGGTGACCGTCTGCAAGCCCAGGAAGGAGGTGTCAAGAGAAACCAATTGTGGTGCCCATGTCCCCCTGCCCTAGATTGCCACCATGACACCAAAATCCTGGAAGCATCCTAGGACCAAGGGTGAGGCAGACTGATTCAACCGGAAGCACAAACTACAGCCCTCCAAGGCCTGAACCATGCTTCCCGGATATATGCACCTGAGCTTTTTTCGCCTTTGCTATTCCTAAAATTAAATGGAAATGTCATAATGTACTCTCAGCTTGAATTTGCTGGAAGAAGGAGTTGAAGAAGAAAGAAAAACAGCCTGCTTCATGATGGGGCTAGTGATGAAGACGGACGTGCTGGTCCATCCTGGCCTCTCCCCTGTCGGGCTGGGGCCCTTCTCAGAATAGTCCTGTATGGAGTTACCAGCAGTCATGGGAACCAGCATGCTGTCCCAAGCCTATGTGCCACTGTGATAGAGCTCAGAGGGCAGAATTGTGCAGTGGTCACTTTGGCTGAGGTTTGACCCTCTGGCTCACAGGCTGGGTGCCTGCAGGAATTCTTCTCCCTGTCAGCACGTGTTACTAAAGCCAGAGTCAGCTTCCTCATGAAACTGTAGAGATGGCTTGGTCCTGCCCCAAACTGCCCAGTGTGGTGGGTGCCCTAGGCGCCCAGTCTTTCCTCAGTAGGCCACTGGAGAACAGGGACAGGGTGTTCACATTTTCACCCACCTGCTGGAGGAAGTGGATCCTGAGACTCAGCATGCTGCCTCTTCACTTGGAGAAATGAAAGTGGATGTTCCAAAGTGGAAAGTCTGTTCCCAGCCCCACCTGTGAGCCTATACAGAGACAGACACCCAAGGTGACAGCAAGGAGCTCCAGCCTCACCCAGGAGGCACCAGGCCAGGTGTGGCACACACCAAGACCCAGCTTCTCTGTCCCCAGGTGTGGGGGCCACCAGCATCCATCCTTCTCCTCCGGATTCCTTGTGGTGATGGAGTCCCTGGGGCAGGAAGATATGCCCAGTGCTGCATCCCCCCTTGCTACCCCCAGCTCTGCAAGTAGCAGCCAGGGAACTGAACATCATCTGTAAATGAGTACTGAGGCTTAAGTGTCCTTTCCCCAAATGAAGAAGAATTTCACCGCTCCCTGTCCTGGCACAGGGCCAAGACACATGAGCATAATTTGGGTCCCTTTCAAGCCAATGTTCTTTAAACAGTAATCTAACATCTATTTAGCAGAGTTGGCATTTAAAAATATTATATATCTTTTGTTTATGTCCTAAATTTGGGGTTTATGACACACATTTATTGTGTTATGTTCCAAAACCCGTGATTTATTGGCAGCCATAAATGAGTTCAATTGCTTAAAATATGCACAATAAAATAAACTACATGGTCCCAATAAACAGTGTTATGCTGTCCCTTCTTGTTCTTAAAAAATTAGCTGACTCTGGGGTTGGCTTGAGGCGTCTTCAGCTGCCTGATGTCAGAGCTGAAGGCTGGGCCACCAGCTCCAGCCCCATTACTCAACACTGGCAGAGAGTGTCCTTAAGGGAAGAGAAGGAGACAGAAATAAATGTGCAGAAGTGCTGCGGGTGCACCTGGCAGGCAGGTGAGCACACGCCTGGGTGGTACACAAGTGTCTAAGCCTCCTGGGAAAGTGGCCAAGGAGAGCTTCTTGGATGAACAGGTAAAGTCTTTCTCGCCGTGTGGGAACTAATGGGAGCTTGGGGCCTCTACAGAATCAAAGGCCCACTGAGTATTTGTCTTTGTCCTACGGGCTCTTGAACTCCCTTTTTGCATAGTTTTCATCGGATAGGGCAGGTGTGGACTTGGTGAAAGCACCTGTATCCTCTGTTTGGTCTACAAGTGTAGTCATATTAGACATAGCACTATTTGCTTTAGCAGAGAAGACTCACTATACACATCATAGGTTATGGATGATGTTAGTGTGGGAAGCTGGGTTACCTTGCAACAGATTTCCATTTTGTCCCAGTGAGGTACCAGCATTGCTTATAGAGCAGTGCCCCTGGGAGCTTGCCCACTAGATTGCTCCTTGATGTGACTGAACCAGTTGCAAAAGGATCCGGAATCATCTGCAAAGCAGTTACTTAAAGACATCCTTCTTAGGCCCCCACACCCCAGGTTAGCCTCTGCTTCAGTATGAATCCTGGATGTTCCCAAAATGTCAACTTGTTGAAGGTTTTGTCACCAACCTGTGGGGTGTTGGAAGGTGTTGAAAGCTTTAAGGGATGGAGTCCAGTGCAAGGAATTTACATCACTGGAAACATGCCTTGGAATGGGGATATTGAGACCCTGAACACTTCCTCTCTCCCCCTTTGCCTTCCTGGTCCCCATGAAGTGAACAGATCTTCTCTGCCATGGGCTCCCGCATCTTGTACTATGTCTGCACAGGTTCAAAGCCATAGGGCCAAGCATCTACGGGCTGAGACCTCACAAACCATGAGCCAAAATAAAATTTCCCCTCCTTTAAGTTGTTTATGTTAGATGTTTTGTCATCGTTAAGGAAAGCTGACTGACACAGCACTATTTCTTCCTATTCCAGAATGTGAGGAATCCCCCAGGGTGTTCTGGTATCAAAGAACACCCAAGGAGGCTTCTTACCCCTTCACTCACTGAAAGCTTCAAAATCATGACACAAGCGGAGACATGGACTCCAAGTTTATAAGGCGCCTGCCAGTTAGAGATGCTTGACAGGTTTGGTTGGAGAAACTCTCAGTGCATAATAATGAGAAAGCTGTCAGGCTAAATGCCATTCTGACATTTGAAGGAAGAGGCTCGTGTAATTTTTGGTTGTTTAAGGGCAAGAAGCCTGGAACTCTATCTTCTTGTTAAAATGACAAGGAGTAAGAAGCAATTTTTTTCTTCTCTTCTCCTTTAACAAGTAGAGCCTAACAGGGAACTTGGTATTATAATGAGATCAGCAAATAAAATAACCGTTCATGTGGGAGAGAAGCACTTCAATAAGGTGCGCTGCTATTCTTCATCATGATCATGATCATCCGCATTCAGTATGCATGTGAGCAAAGTTCTGCAATGTCTCCGTCAAATGAACCCATTGTCGTGGTGTCTGATCTGGGGTTTATAAAACCTAAGGAAAATAATGCTGAGAGGCCAAGGGGAAATTGTATGGGATTCCCAAAGGTGCACAATAAATTCTGTAAATACATCCCCCATGTTGTATCAGTAACTTCTATGTCACCGTAGTACAAGTTACACCCCAGCAGCTTCAGAAACCGAAGTCCCTCCAATCTGGAAGGGTATCAGTGGTGAAGTGGGGCTACAGTGACCACTGGATCACAGTCCTCACTGGATCACAGCCTTCATCCGGGAAATATGCCTGGGTAACGTGACAAGGTGTATGAATTTACTCACAGGGGCTGGAGAACTTGCAAAAGGTTTCAAGCAGCCATCACCATGATCAGGTCTGCCTTTAGTAAAACAGACAGAGACACGGGGGAGGGGAGGCGGTGAGGGGGGACGGGAGCTGGAGGTCTAGAATGACATCTGGCTTTCGGGCTTGGGGTCCAGGTGAACATGGTGAACGACAGGAAGGGGAATCCAGAGTCAAGGAGAAGGTTTAGGGAAATTATAGTGACTTTTGTCTGGAGTCTGTTGAGAGTGAGGTGCCTGTGGATTAGCCAGGTGCAAAGGTCTAATTCTCCATCTGTACTAAGAAGTCTCATGAAAATGTGATTAAATTAAAGAAGCACTTTGAAATCCTCAGATGAAAGGAAGCTCAAAGCATCGTTATTGCAGTGGATTTCATAAACTCTCCTTGGTGTCTCATCAGGCAGTCTTTCATGATGAAGAGAATGCTGTCCTCATCTTGATTTTAATTGCCTCTGATGCCTGTGATAGCGTATTCCGGGTGTGAACAGAACGAGTGTCGCAATGCAAGCTGTGGGATGGGCTCGCTCAGGGACTCAGAAGATCCGGCACAGACGGCCAGAACTCAGGGGATGAACACAGTCCTGCGCCCTGTCCTAGAGTCCCTGGTTTGACTGGCTAGTATGCACCCCTTGTTTAGTCAGAGCAGGAACTGTTTTAAACATTGAAGATCTCTGCAATCCTGAGCATCTTGTACATGTCTGATGTTTAGGATTTAATAGTAGACTAGATTGGTATGCTTCCTGCCTTGCAGTATGAATTATCTAATAGTAATGAGGATGTTTAAGGCATCTCATGATCAAGAGAAAGAATCAAAACTGAATCAGATAATCTCCAAGAGAGCTGCTTAAAATTCAGGAAATAAATGGACACTTTCCTAAAGACAGCGTTTGGAAAATCGCCTCTCCCACTTCACCAGGCTGTGAGGTGGGGAGCAGCCAAGGCAGTTTCTCCTGTCGGGATAACGCAGAGTGAATCACCAGTTGTACATAATCGTCTGCATCTGGGAGATTCAAAACCAGCGCCTCCATCTTGCAGACTTTCCGCAGTATGGCTCCTGTGGGGATTTGGGAGTTGCCCTGCTGCCTCAAGGTACAGGGTTGAGGGCGAGCTGGGAACTGCTTCCTGTCAAAGGGAAGCAGAAAGGAGTGGTATCAGAGCCTGGACTTGTGTCTGCATGGGGCACTACAGCTTGCTCTCCTGGCACACCGTGGCACCGAAGGAACGAGGAGGAAGCGCAGCTGGTAGAAGCGGAAACTCGAGCTCACTGTTTCCCCACACAGTCTGTGCTCCGAAGGAAAAGCTGCTCATTAGAACGCTGTCGTCCTGGGGGCGCGCTGCCAGGAACAGTGCTTCCCTCTCTCCCCTTCCCTGGAGGTCCTAAATTCCCTTCTGTCCTTTGCTTCCTCCCCTCTGCTGTCCTCACTCTTGAGCACTAAGAACACTATATTGGATTCTATGGACACACAGACGAAACACACACTCCTGCCCTCCAGCACTCGCTGTGTGTAACGGGCATGCCCCTGCCCATCTTACCAGTTTGGGAGATCTTGAAGTGGTTCTCCTAATCCTCGTGACCTCAAGACCCATCTTTCTTTTGATGGGTTTAGGGATGTTAGAGAACATGGCCACGGCTTTGTCTTCCTGTGATTAATCGGCAGGGACCAAGCCATATTTCAAGGCATGAACAGGATCTTGTTGTTTAGTAGTTTCTGTTGATGGATTAACTGCTCTCCCACATTCTCAAAGAGAGGCACTACCCAGCTTGAAGCCTGGACATAGCCAACCCAGATGCCCATGTGAGGAAAGGCTCAGCAGCAAACTAGAGTATTCACTACCCATCTTGTGCCCCCCACAGGTGCTGGCTGCATTGATGCCAACCTTGGAGCAAGAGCATCGAGGGGAGAATTTGTCTATCGTCCTATCATAGGAGCAGGCAGAGGAGCCTGCGCCTGGGTCACGCCTTGCAGTTGACTGGGGACTTGACACCCATTCAAAAATTCGTTATCTTTTGACAGCTTTTCTAGTTTCTTGCTTCATATGTCTTCTAACATCTTTTCATTATTATCTTCATCTTTTACAAAACTAATTGCTTAAAAATCTACTTCCAGACAATATTTTATTCTTATATTTCCCAATTTTTTTCTTTGTTCCTGTAAATTTTTTTTATTTTACTTTTAACAACTTGTAGCCAAAGCTCTCTATGCCAGTTGTTTTTTTTTTTTTTTTTCTTTACAGGAGCAAGAAAACATTAATTTACAGGACTAAAAGCTGGTTCCCCTTTCCTGGAAGATTGGCAGTATCAAATCCTTCTCAGACAGACAAGAGCCGGAGTGAAGAGGGATGCTTATAAGCAGTTAAGCTTCTCCTTGCAAGCTATAGATTACAATTCTGCCACAGGTATTATAGATGTTGGCCACTGAGGAAGCTATAAGGTGTAGGGTCACCATATACAGCTGTCTGGTTGGGCCTGCAATTATGAGGGGTGGGGCCCCAGCTGGATCTTACAGGATGAGAAAGATTTTTCCAGGTATCTGTGTCTTTCTCCTGTCTCATGTTTTCCATAGGCTGATACTAACATGAAGGGAGGGCAGGAAGCAAAAAATGACAAATTAGGAGATAGGAGTGGACTGCTGAGAATGTGCCACTCCCTGTGCAGGTGTTGGTAGAGAGATAATTGGACCAGTCGTAGATACATGAACCTCTGGTCTCCTTAAGGTTCTTTTAATCAAGTGACCGCCTTCTCTTCACCTGGCCCGTATCTACACCCCTTCTCACAAGAAGAGCCTAGTATGAGTGAGGGATCTTGATGTAAGGACTAAGAATGATGTTCCCCAGTTTCCTGTGCTCCTGAGGTGACTCTAAGTAAGAATCCAAAAGCCCCAAGGGCACAGTACTTTCAAGAAACCATGGAACGGGATATAAGTGGAAAATCAGGGATGGAGAAGAGAAAGCAACAGGTGGCAGAGGTAAATGAGGGCGGATCTTGGGTGGAGGCCTTGGGAGGCTTACAGGCTGCGTGCTGAAGCCACACCACACGCGCCCAGTTGGACACATTCCTGGGTAGCAGTTGCGGCCCTGACTTGCTTGACGGCAGTGTCTGTGAGTGCCCCTTCACTGGTAAAAATTTACTGACAAAGTTTGCTGCCTGCAACTTCCTGTGCTGAGATTCAGGCCGGGGAATTATTATCTGTGCAGATGCCACAGGACAGGCCTGGGTATCAACAGAGAAGCCAGCCTCTCACGGCAGGGCCCCGTGCTGTCCCCATGCAGGACCCTTCCCTTCTCCCACAGCCACACCACTGCCTCTGCCATTCTCTCTGTAGCTGTTTCTGCCACCGTTGACATTGCTGATACGCTCTTAGGTGGGGCCCTCAGTGCCTTAGTTAGTCGTGAGGCACACAACGGTGGCCTGGCCAGAAAACAGGCTGACTGCCCACTGCTGCCTCCCAAGCCCCGCGCTCTGAGCACACCGTGTGCATCTGGGTGACATGTGTGCTACACTGCTCATGGGCCAGCTCGGCTGTCCCATCGGCTTTCATTTACAGAACCCATGTCTGAAGATAAAACTATCAAGAATGTCAGCATAGCTACAGTGGAGCAGCAAAGCAAGCCCTGGCCCTTCGAGGAGGAGGTCACACACCCCAAGGCGGCCCCAGTGCATGGTGGCAGGACCAGGGAATCCTAGCCATGCTCTGGCAGGCGTTCTCCTCTTTCTGGTTTTTTGTTGGTTTATTTTTTCTTTCTTCTAATTATGTGTAGTCATCTTTCCTGGAAACTGTAAACCACACTGTGAAATTATTCATTTTTATTGCCCATGAATTTATTTATTATATTTATTGCCCAAGAATGTACCAAGTAGCCCTGAACTCTGTTAAGAATGATGAAAGGTGGGTGGTTTGTACATTGGTATCAGCCATCCTATTGTTTTAAGATTCACCTCAACTGGCTTTAAGATGCACATGGGTACCATTTGGCAACAAGTCAGGTTTCATTAAAGTTAGGCAAATTTCTTAGAGAGATAGACATAAAACCATAGAGAAGCAAAAGCTAAAATTAAACAGTTGAGGGAGTGAAATGTATAACAGTTGGATTAAAACAGAAAACTAATATGAACCACGTAAAAATTCCCCTTTATAAGCGGCCCCCACCCTGGATGATTGAAATGTTTGCTGACCTTCATAAAAAGGTCTCTGTGGAACACGAGAGGGTGTTCAGGCTACCCAGTATCTCTTCCTCAGGCCACACTTGAAGTTCTCCTTAACTATTAAACCCAATGTCCCCTAAATGAATGCTTTCATTTATTTGCAAAGAAGCAAATTATTTTCTAGAACAGGACTTAATTAAAAAGAAATCCTGTGGCCTTCTTCACGGTTTTGGCCATTGGACTGTAGCAGTGTGCCTAACTCTTTTAAAACTAAATGCACATCCCGAGCTGTGGAAGACACTGAAGCTATGAAATGCTGAGTCCTTTTGAAAATGAAGTTTTGTATAGTGTTACCTCTTATCGTGAAAATGATTACATGCACATCACAGTAACATCAAAAAGTACTGATGAGAAATGGACCATATCAAAGAGCTGTAACTCTAATCACCTGGAAATGATCACTGATAACCTCTTGGTCTGTGCTTTCTAAGTTCTTATATATGCACACAAACACATATGTACATTATATTGGCCTTCTGTATGCAGCCAAAAACGTTGTACATAACATATCTTCCACATACACACAAACATCATGAGTTTCCCATGTGCATGGAGATGTGTATGTGTATCTTATGTGTCTTATAAATATGTATATATGCCATGTGGCTTCCATACAGCCACAAGTATATATGTGCCCTAGAACTATTGCTCATGTGCATACAAATACATATATACATACATCATATGTGTCTTTCCTGTACAAATATAATATACATCATGTTTTCCACATGTATACAAATCTATATGCATAGCACAGTACCATACCTTCCATAGTAATAGAAACACACTTATATATGTCCTTCATATGCACAAAACATATATGTACTTCAATGTGTCTCTAAGTACATATAGACATATGCATAATATAAGCGCCTTTCTATGCATCAGTAGTTTTTTCAAAAATAAGTTGATGGATAACCTAGTCTACTATGCCCTGACTCTTTCACTTCACAAGGTGTGTATCTTTCCATAGTCACAGTGTACATACTTACGTACTGTCCTTTGTCCCCCTTTTTTCTTTGTTTGGATCAGGTGTTGTACCTGGAGTGCTGGGGTCCCCACTGAACTGACTTCTGTTTTTTAGGCTGCAATTCAGTCCATCTAGTTCAATAACCATTTATTGAGTTTGGTCAAACACACCCAGTAGAGTTTCAATAAGCATGAGGCGAATAGAAAAAAACTTCTATAGATGGAAAGCCACAAAAGAAACTGGTGGGCCCGCTTATCCTTAGTTTGTTCCAGAGGCCGTACAGTGAGTGAAAACTTTGAAGTCAGGTATATACTGGCTCAAGAGTGATTCTGTGACTTGTGAGAATTACAGCTTTGCAGTCTGCCTCGTCAAGCCATTGTTTCCTTATCTGCAGAGTGAAATTGCTACAGTTTTGATCTGGGATGTTTCCCAAAGATCCATGGGCTTGGTGCTCCTGGGAGTGATGGAACTTTTAAGAGATGGGACCTGCTGGGAAGTCCTTCAGTGTTTGAGGGTGTTCCCCGGAAGGAGACTGGGACATGGCCTCTTCCTTTCCCTGTCTTCTTTTCATTTCTGGGTCATGAGGTGAGTGGCTTTGCTCCACCACATGCTCTTTGCCATGATGTTCTGCCTCACCACAGGCCCAAAAGCTGTGGGACCAACCAGCCATGGACTGAAGCCTCCACAACTCTGAGCCAAACTAAACCATTCCCTTCCATAAGTCGATCATCTCAGGTGTTTGTTATAGTAATAGAAATCTGACCAGTAAAGGGGTTTATTGTGATAGCTTCTTCACGGGGTTGTGAAGAGTATAAAAGACAAAATTAAGTGCAATAACTCAGTCTGGTGTGCACCCAGTGGGAGCTGTTATCATTTATATCAATATTGGTTATTATTTTCTGAACAAAATGAATTAGAAGTTATATAATGGTAAAACTCTCAATAGAA